TGGGGGGACCGAGCCCACAGGGCCGGGTAAGAAGAGAAAGAGCCGTGACGGAGGCTGTCTGTAAAACATAGGGTCCCCTGCTCAGCTTCCCACAGGCACTGGGGCTGAGCGGGCACATGGGCAAGGACAAGTGAGGAGGGTTCCTGATGGTGGGGGAGGCCACGTTCTTCATTCTTAGTCTCCAGCTGCCCTGAGGATTAAGCTGACCTGCGAGGGATTTGCACGAGAACCAGGCAGATGGCCACCTGGACCTGAGAGCTGTCAGGGGGAGGTGAAGCCCCCCCCCCCGGGTGGCGGGCCTGGGTCCTCACATAGAGGTGAACTCAGCAGTGATGGGGAAGAAGTAGCTCAGGTGGGGCTGTGGCAAACGCAGTGGGGGTTGACTTTAATGAAGTTTGGGGCACAGATTTCTCTCAGCCTTGACTCCCCTTTTCTGGAGATAAGAATGTCCCTTGCCTCTAGTTGAGGGAAGGCGTCTTTCACAGGGGAGTTTGTCTCCGGCTTTCAGCAAGAAAAACAGTGGCCCAAGTGCCCTTCCTGCATCTGTGGTCTCTAAGCCTCTTACCCTCGAAGCAGTCGATTTGCCAGACCAGCACTTTTTGGGGTGTTATGTTCTGAACCCCTCAAGACCTTGCTGGTAAAGGTAGGTTCAGGCCAGGTTAGAGGGGTCTGGCGTGTTGGGGAGCAGCAAACCACCCCCAAGTGCAGGTGGGCCAGGTGGCAGCACCCTGCGGGGTGGGTGTGGGGGCACAGAGGGCTCACTTCTAGCCTATGGCTTCAGCAGGCACCACTGGGCCCTCTGCTTCCCCCACAGGAAGCCCTCCCTCCTGTGACGTCCCTGCGCACCCTCTACACGGTGCCCACTTTAAAGGACAGCTGTGTGCAGGAAGCGGGGTGGATCTTAAGGTGTGTGTTGAAGGGTGCATTTGGAGCTGGGAGGCAGTAAATTGGCCGTTGAGAGAAAGGGACCTGTACACCCTGAAGAATGGTGGGGTCTGGGCAGGAGAGCTCACTTTAGGAACGGGCTCCTAGTGAGGAGGGTCCCAGGAGGCAGGGGTCTCTGCTCTCCAAAAGCAGGTTGGCGACTGGGTCTCTTTCTTGATAAATTGCATCTGAGAAGCAGGTGGGGTGGATTTGGATTCAAATTATTTACCATTGCCAACTGAGATTCCTGCTCAGTGTTTTTACATTAAAGGCTCTATGAATGAATTAAGACGAGGAGTGTTTATTAAATTCTTAGACAAATCACAACCAAACAGGATCACTGATAAGTTAATGACAGAATCAAGGTGTATACATTGGCACTGGAGAAATGGCCGGGAGAGGGAATATGCTCTCTTTCATTGTTGTTTGTTGTTTCACGGGGTCTTCTTTTGTGTGTAAGTTTCTTACTGCTGCTGTAATAAATTAGCATCATTTAGAGGCTGAAACAACACAAATTATTACCTTACCCTTCTGGAGGTCAGGAGTCTGCATGGACTGAAGTCGGGGTCCAGGAAGGCCGGTTGCCTCTGGAGGTGGTGAGAATCTGTTTCCTGGCCTTTTCCTGTTCCCAGAAGTCACCTGCATTCCTCAGTCACCTCCTCATGCACCCAGCTGCTCAACTCCATGGTCAATTCTCCTCCTCTTCACCCTCTTCATCTTCCGTAAGGAACTTTCCTCCTCTTCACCTTCCTGTAAGGACCCTTGTGATTCCACAAGGCCCCTCCAGATAGCCGGAAATAATCACCCTCCACCACCGTCTCAGGGTCTCAAGATCCTCATCTTAATTACATCTGCAGAGTCCCTCCTGCTGTGCAGGACGGTCCACTCTCAGGTCCTGGGATCTAGAACATGAGTATTTTAGGAGGGTAGGTGTCATTATCCTGTCCACTGCATCTCTGTTCAGGAATTCCAGGGTGGTCTTATGCCCTTGTGGCCGCAGTCACAGACAAGCCTTGTCTGATGTCACTATTCTAAGGTCTTTGTGCTCAGCAGGGGGACAGCACCGCCTCGTGGTCATGCCAGGCAAGCCATCAGCTGCCCACTCCCCTGACCTGTCCATGTCAATTCATCCCCCACAACATCCTCATCTGCCCACACCGTCCCTCTCAGGCGCAGAGCAGGCAGGAGTGTGAGGGAGAAGGAATGAGACTCCCGTCCCCGACCCTGGGGATGAGGAAACATGGACCATGTTCTTCTCTTCCGTTTTCCCCCCACGCCACCCTCTCTGCCTCTCTTACTGGGAGCTTCCTCCTGAGCTCCAGCCTCGTCCTTGACAGTTAAGGCTTTCTGAGGGCCTTTAACATTTATCATATTTTCCATTTTAATTGCTATAAAATGTTTTCTTCCTAACTGAACAGGTAATTTGGATTAGAATCATTTGTCACTGCCCACTTCTGTGTGTTTTTAAGTAATGACTTTATTAATGAGTTGAGAATAAGAGTGTTCATCGTATTTTTAGATATAAAACCAAGCAGGATCACTAATATGACAGAATCAAGATTCAAAAACTTTTGAGCAGACCATTGTTGTATTTCAAAACAAAAGAAGTAAAATTTCGTATAAATAAATGTAAATTTCAGTATCAGGATTCAAGCCATCCACCATGCAGATACAGAAAGGGGGCAAACTTAGGGAGATAAACCAGGACTTTCACTGGGAGCTCAGTTCAAATTATAGAAAGTGACCACCAGAGAACAGCCGAGGGAGGGCAAGGGGCCACCATGTGGTCAGGTCACCTCTGAGCACAGGCTTTAAGGGTTGTATTAGCAAAGACCAGCACATTTTCATTGAGAGCCTACCATGCACTTGACCCAGCACTGGACCTGAGGACACAAAAAGTACAGATGTGTGAACACAAAGATTTGATACCTTTTAAAGACTGTGCCATACTGTATTTTGCATGCAACAGAATACTAGTCATCCAGAAGACGCAATTCAGTTTTATATTTATTGACACAGGAAAAAGTTTATAATGCATTGCTAAGTTTTATAAAACGAAATCAGATATCTGTAGGATTCCACGCATTTTTTGTGAAAACAAATAATATACATTTTTAAATTAGTATTAATTATCACCAGTTGAGTCTTTTCCTGAAAATATGCACTACTATTTTTCTATAATGGATACATATTGTTTGTATCCATTTTTTAAGTTCTTCAACAAAGAAATTAAATTATAAGAAGTACTGCAGCCCACCATCTCGGTGAGGCCTTGGTTCCCTCCACGTCTGGCAGTTAGGGACTGTGACAAGTGAAAGCAGCGGCCGTTACCAAGGCCTGCCAACAGGTGGCGCCAAAGGAGCCAGCTAGTATTAACAGAAAAGGTAGCCTTTGCTCTGAAGATATTTTCTAAAATTTAAAATATTTAAGATTCTCTGGCTGGAAAAAAAAATGTTTTGTCAATATGCATTTGGCGGTATATAACATTTTGAAAATGATAGTGAAACACGCATATGTTTGCTTTAATAGGGTTCTTTTCCTTTTTTCCCCCAAACTTTTGTTATCATATTTCTAATGCACAAAAACTCACAGCACCACTTTGGCAGATCACGACTCAAAAATTCCTGAGATGTGATGATGCTTTGACCCTGAACTTTCAATGGTTTCCGAGTCTGTAGTGAGCAGTTTCATGTTTTGGCTATAGAGAGTTGTTAATAAGGAGCGCTCATTCATCCACAGAGCTAGTTCCGAGCGTGGAGGGAATGATGCCCACTGCCCTGCACTCTTTCTTCCTGGCACCTCACCTTCCTTCCCCCAGCATGGCAGGCCTCCTGCCTCTTGGCCTAGTCAGTCTCGTTGTTACCAGTCACTGGCTATCATTTCCCAAGTTTTCCAAGTGGCTGCTTGTTCTAGCTCCCTCCTCCACCTGGTCCCCAGAGTTCCCACAGGAGTGCCCCGCAGGGGACCCAGGCCTGTGTTCTTATGACCCACCCCTTCCATGATAATGACCTAGCAGGTGTGGAACTCACACCGGAGGAATGAATGGATCCAAAGAGGTTTTCCGCTGGTGGGCCCAGGAAGCTCTGGGGAAACACACTAGACTGCGTCTCTCTTTGTTGGCCTGTGGTCAGGACTGGAAATGGAACCCAGCGGCTCTCCTCCACAGACATCTCCATCCTCTTAATTTTTTATTTTGAGACAGGGTCTCATGAAGTTGTCCAGGCCGGCCTCAAACTTGAGATTCTCCTGCCTCAGCCTCTGAGTTGCTGGGATTAGACTGCATCTATTTTAAAAAGCAACTCAGAAGAAGTTGTTATGCGGAGACACAAAGACGAGTCAAGGCCTTTGATGTGTGACTCCACCGTTTGTATTTTGCACATGGGAAATGTGACCCAAAGCGGGCCTTGTTCAGTGTGCGTGTGCAAGCCATACTCAGGATGCTCTTTCCATCTCTTCATTTCTCTCCCTCTGCTACCAACTCCCCTCCCTTCCAGAAGAACAAGCTCTGCCTGAGCAGAGGCTTCCCAACTCCCCCTGCCTGAGGCAAAAAGTCATCCTCTGTGTGAAAAGCAAGAAAACAATGTCAAATTGCAGCATTTGGGGCCCGGGTGTAAATGTGTGGGCAAGCTCTCACATCTGAAGACCCACCTTGCTCTGTAGCAGATATACCAAACAGTGAACATAATAGCTCCGTGAAAGGGCACAAAGAAAACTCAAAGCTATAGGCACAACTTTGTCTATTTCAGAGCTCAATACTAGAGATTAGATGGAGCAGTTCTTACTCCATTAAAGCTTGCAAGAATCTTAGTCCAACAGGCAAATTATCCATAGAAAATGTGCACCCACAGATCAAATCAGAACAATTCTTCATTTAACTAGTTCAAATTGTTTTCAAATAACCTGTGTGAAGGAAGAGATGACTTCCATTTTCCTGGGCTATATTTCAGAGTCCACGCTGATAAAATAAGATATCTGGAAACCAGAATTCAAAGAGACATGCCATCGCCTGCAGGGAAGATTTGATTCTGGTGCAGGAAAGTCACCTTCTTCTAACAGTGTCTCGTTTTCTCCTACAGCTCGATCATTATCCTTCTGTGAGTTACCATCTGCCAAGTTCATCGGACACACTCTTCAATTCCCCCAAGGCGCTCTTTCTTGGAAAAGTTATAGGTAAGAATTTGGTTCTTTGGGTATAGATATATGTTAAGAACACACTGGGTATAAGAATATACTAGGTAATGTGAATTTGCACTTTTAAATTACCAGGTAATTTTCTCTCATTGGGGTCAGTCACAAATACTTGCTCCACACAAGAAAAGCTGGGCTGTTTTTCTCAGTGATGCACAAGACAAGTGTCATCAAATCATCTCTGGGGTAATTGCTCCTGTGGCACATTCTAAAGCTCATTCCACTAATTCTCCCTTGAAACACACTGTGACTGGTGCTGGGGGCATCTGAGTCTGTGACAGAAATGAAACAAATGTCATTTGATGGGTAGCATAATTGAGAAACTCAACTGTCCAATGTAAAATTTACTTCCGCGTGTAAAATTTATTCTTTGGTTAACTGAAGACCTCTACCTTTGAGCAATATTTAATTGAACTTTTTCTTCATATAAGCACATTGGAAATAGCAAGATGGTGGTAATGCACAGGCTGGGGGAGAGGTCATATTTTGTGCCCAGTGGGTAGTGGTGATGTTAGCAAAGCAATGCCTAATCGCTGAAGCAATGAGTTTTAGAAAAAAGAGAAAGAGTTCATTCCCACAGCAGCCAAATGAGAGGAGGGGGAGCCCCCCGGCTCAGGTCCACTTCCCCAAAGGTAAGGGTGAGGGGTATTTATGGGGTGAAGAAACAGGCTGATCTGAGGTGTGGGACAGGTGACTGGCAGGAAAGGGAGGTGAGCAGTAGGCGGTCTGCACAGGTGCAATCCATCTCCACGGCTCTGCACAGGATGTCAGAGCAAGGCAGTGTTAGGATGCTCTTCAGCCAGTTCGAAGTAGACACAGTTGCCTCCAAATCCCCCAAAAAAGTACGTACACCACCGTCCCCCAGGTGACCATGCATCAGAAGTGCTAACTTTAGGAGAGCCAACAGGATCTTTTACTTCACTGTTGAGCCAAGCAACTTCTAAAACTTTGCATCAACCCAGGTCTGGAAGCCCATCCCAGAGAGATCAGCTGAGAGACAAGTTTTGGGGAGAATGAAAGGTTTTATTCAGTGACCAAAGAAGGGAGAAGCATGCCAGAGCTCTGCTCACAAATCAGCCGCTCCTCTCCTGGGAGCTGAGGGGTTCCAGACGCAGAACAGGGATGACAAGGGAGAGGGACAAGGCTGGTGAAGGCCAGGCATGTTCACGCCTTTTCTTGGAATCGGTTGAGACCTTCCAGAAAGTCGGGCGCCGCCTCTTCTCATTCGTTCGTACTCCAGTGTTCCCGTCACGATGACTGATGGTGTCCTTCACCTCGAAGAGGGAGGAGAGAGACTGGGTGAGTCTCGTGAACCCTGCATTATAGCTCTGGACCAAGCACGTCTCAGATGATCCACGTGTCTCCGTGCAGAGCTGAGTGGAGTCTGACCCCAAGGCTAAGGCAGCACAGGAGAGGGACAGAACATGAAGACGGAGAGGCGGAGTTACTCACCCTGTTCCAGTCACCCGTGAGACATCCGCAGGCCCCAGTGACAGTCAGTGTTTTTAGCAAAAGCAGCCTTCCCTTTCCTGAAAAGTCACCTAGACAACCATTATCCTCCGCACCCACTCGTCGGAGGTGTGATCTGCAGCAGAGCTAGGGGGAGACTAAAAGTGTATTACTGTGTCCTCCAAAGTTGGTGACTCTGACGTCAACTAAGAGCAAGTGAAGCAAGAGGGTTCATCCAGGTTTTCCCTGGGCTCAGAGGACCCTTTGGGTTTAAACTTTAGTGAGGAAGGGAGAGCAGCTCAAACCTCTTACAAGAGGAAAGAATTTATTAATTTTATTTTAGGCCTGTGACAATGATCAGAAGAGCATCAACGGTGACAGTGCTCATTTATAAAGATGAGGGGGGGTGGCTGTAGAAAATGAGGAGTGGGAGGAGCGAGAACCTGTAATAGGGGCACGCGTGCTCTTCCCTGGGATCTCCTGCAGGCCAGGCTCCGTTTGAAGCACTAGGGATATATTAACCATTTAACCTCATAGCACCTCCGTGAGGTAGTGGGTTATTATCCCCACTTTACTGATGAGGAGACTGAGACACAAAGAGGTGAGTGAGAGGCCCTGGGCCACTGGCTAACAAGTAGCAGAACCCACACTTGGAGGCGGCTCTGAGCTGCTGGGCTGGAGTCTCTGTGGTGGCTACCGAGGACGAAGAGGAGGAAGACACAGAGGAAGGCTTGGGCAGGAGACGTAAGGGCTGGGTCTGCACCCCAAACCAGAAAGGGGCCACCAGCAAAGAGTGTCCCTGGGCTTAGGACCAGGAGCACACAGAGCTGCTGGTGAGTGAGGGTCCAGAAGAGAGCAGGGTAAAGCCCAGAGGGAGAGCCCTAGTCGGTGGGTAAGTCAGTGGGGAGAGGTGGCTGATCCATCCAAGGGTGGGAGTGGAAAAAGAATGAGGCTGAGACTTACTGATCACTGGGCCAGATCAACAGCTGCTTCTTATTCCCTTGCATCCTACAAGGAGCACCAGGCATAGTCTCGGTGTCACTCTGCAGGACCTAACTACAAAGCCCTCATCTGAATCCTGTCCAGCATTTCCTAAAGTTGCTATGTTTTGAAGAACATACCCTCGATTTTATTATCTATAACAAGAATGGAAGACAGAGACGTCATGACATTACATATTACACATATAAATACGACAACTAAGTGTCACAACGATCCAGTAAAACAAAACCTATGATTATTGCCCTTCAGATGAGGAAACTGAAGCTGGAGGTCAGTTAGACAAAGGTGAGTCCACTAGTCTGTTGGCTGGAGAGTATGGAGGTGAGGTCTCCCTGAGGACAGTCCACAGTCTTAGGTGGACAAGAAGAACTTGCCGTTCATGGTCAAGCTCCAGAAAGTGTTGCAGACAAAGGTTAAGTGATGCCAATAACCAGCAAAAAAAAAAAAAAGTGGGTGGATTGGCCTTGGTATTCTTTCATTGTCCATCCTGAGCTGTTGGCACGTGCCCAAATGCTGCCATGTATATTCCTACATTTCCATCAAGAATAGTTGAAAGTGTTAAGTGGTCCTTCAGGGACTTAGTGATTCCATCAAAATAAACTCTGCACTATGACACTGTTGTATTCCTAAAAATACTGCTTTATGATACCCTGAGGTAACCTCAACCATGATCCTAAGGACTTTATTACTTCCTGAGACCCATGAAGTCGAGTTTTGATGGAATATTGAGTGATGGCTAGGTTCCCTTGTCTAACACTCTCTGGCTCATCAGTATTTCAGCTCATGGGGCTCAATTCATACTTCAAAATTGCAATGGACGATACGGACCTTCAAGGTCATGAACAAATAACATTGTAAAGGTGACATCCTTTACAGCTAAGAATTCACTGGGCCATAAATCTGAATCAAGCTGAAAGTTTAACAAGCCTCAGATGTATGGATGTCACACCTACAATTTTTTGTGCATCAAAGAAAGATTTCTCTGAGCATGGAAACGAACCACACATGTGTCAATGAGTCATGGAAAGAACATGTAATTACCTGTAAGGAAGTCTGCGGTCCTGGGATAGAGATGGCCTCCTTCACATGAGAGCAGGTTAGGGCTCCGCTATGGCCCCTCATCCCTACTAGCCAGTGACCTCCCTGTAGACCAAGATAGTATTGCACAGTTCCACTGCATCCTAACTAGGAGCAACACTCAACAGATATTTGCTGAATTAGTAAAGAGTAATGAGGAAAGAATCAGAAAGCGTATCATTTGCAGATGCACACTGCAGCGTGAGACCTTCAGGCCAAGGCTCTGACGCCATCCGTAAGAGTGGGGGTGGGGTGAGATCTGCAGTCCTCACACATCCCGCCACCTGGTTTTTGGTTTGTATTTTAAATCAGGGATCCAACACCAACATTAATGGAGTAGAAAGAATGTGGGCTTGGGAACCAGGCAGAGCTGATTAGACTTGAATACAGGCTCATCTCCATTGAAACCTGGGGCCTGTTACTTTACTACTCTGATATTTTAACCCCTTAGAGGCTGGATCTTCTCAAATGCAAAGTGGAGGAATCTGAGGCCCCTTGCAGGCTCTGGCTCCCTCAGGGTAGAGATGTCCTCTGTGTTTTTGTTTGTGTGTTTGCTGGGTTGGTTGGTTGGTTGGTTGGTTGGATGGTTTACCTGCAGTAACCAGACTAGTGCCTAGCATACAGAAAGTCCTCAAAAAAATGTTTGTGCAGTAAATGATCAATATTAAGGTAATAACCTCTTGGGATTTATCCAGTACAATGCTTGGCACTAAATAATGAAAATCCTTGCTGTCCTTTGCTGCTAACCGTGTGCCAGCACCTCTGGGACTGTCCACATTCCCCCCACCCCAAGCCAGCCCAGCCCGTCTTTACCCTCACTGTACAACAGAAGCAACCAAGGCTCAGAATGGTCAGGGCCTCTCTGAAGGCAGGAAAGCAGGACTCCCCAACAGTGGCCCTGTTGACATTTGGGGTCAGAAAATTCTTTGCCATGGAGCTATCGCATGCTCACAAGTTACAAGTAACACCTCAAGTCGTGATGACCAAAGAAGGCTCCAGACATTGCCCGAGGTCCCCCAGTCGTGCAAGATCACCACCAGTGACTTTGAGAGCCACAGGCTTAAGGTCACCCAGTTGGTCTTGTGATGCTGGTGTTGGGGAAACCTGATGTGGCACCAGCCAGCCCTGCTGGTGATGGCTGCGTCTTTCAGGATGATGAAGAAGCAAGGGAAACCTCAAAACGATCACACTGAAGGCCAAAAACAAAAGCCATGTGGGTACCAGGGAGGCTGACTGTCCTTCAGTGCAAGGTCACTTAGTGGGTACAGGTCGGGGAGGAGCATTTGTAAATTCCCCTTTGGAAAGTGACATGTGCTTCAGTGAGACACGACCCATTTGCATTCTCAGCTCTGAAATATCCATCTAGGAAGATGGCTTGAACGCGCAGCAGACGTCTGGACACCCCCAGACATCAAAGCTATCAACTATTGCTTCATCAGGTCAGCTGCTAATCA